ATAAAGTTTGAATATCCAGCGCTATTAGCGCTGGAATGCGTCCAACAAATATATCACATGCGTGCAGTTCTTTTCGTCATATTTATAAAAATGCGTACGGTCATTTGAAAACATATAAAAATAAACAGACTATTTATCATGTGACAGTTATAGCATAAATGTTTATTTTGATATTAAAACAGGACATATACACGGGATGATTATACAGTATATTTAAGTATATTTAATATAATGATAAACACATTATTCAAATAACTCCCTCTTAACAATAGAAAGTTCAACACTATTACACCAGAAAGATCTTAAATATTTCCACATATCATCATTTTTAATTCCACTGACCTTTCCTGATTTCAGCAAGTGTTTTAAAACTACCTTATCATTATTTTCTTCTCCAACACTAATTCCATCACAATTTAAATTTCTATGCCAGATAATAATACACTCTTTTGGTATCTTGATTCCACAACTTTTTGCCACAATTTTCTTAAATTTTCGAAATGAAATATCTCGAAATAATTTAATTATTACAGGAGAAGAGGGATAGATCCAATGAATATGCACTTTGAAAGAAATTATCGAAGGACTACTTGGGATTTTTTTAAAATCATTTTCTGAACAATTGGATAAAGTGGTCGAACTAAAATTATAAAGAGGGTTTGTAACTAAATTATTTGAAATATTTGTACAAGTTGAAATGAGTGTGGGATATATGCAATTGGCTGCGTGTCGTCGATTCATGGACTCTTTGTCAAGACAGTTCCCGTCTTTTTGAGTTATTGGAAGTGATAAGTTGGCGTCAATAGCATTACGTCTGCCTTCAGTCTTTTTGGTTTTACCACTCTGGAGTTGATTGATTGATGAGATCGCGCCGCGATTTTCATCGGCAATAAGGTTAATTTCAGATTGATTTTGAAAAGTGGTTGAAATTTCATCATCACTTGCGTTCTCGAAAATTGTTTCAAGTTTACCAAACGCTTGACGATACATTATATATATATATTAAGAGAGGATATCAAGAGAGTTCGACGAGTAAATTTGATTTGGGATTCGAATAAACAAATTTTAAAAAATTTACGAGATAAGTTTTGCGAGACAAGTTTATAAATAATTTCATAAGCCATGACGAAGTGTGAAAGTTGGTTCTAAACTCATCAAAACATTATTAACATTAATTTTATTTCTTAGGTGATCGTTGATTCTTAGGTAATAGAATTGATAATGGAATTGATTAAATGTTGATAACGTTTTATCATTCACATCATTGTTTAAACAATAAATAAGAAATAACAATACATTGATTATTAATTAAAATTATATCGATATGTATTATGTACACGTGACAAATGTTAATACATACATACGTACGTACGTATAATGACAAACCTTAAAAATGCAGAATGAAGTATAGCTTAAAATTCGGATAAATAGTTAATTAGTTAAACCACTACACACTTTAAATTCGAATTGAAAAAATGCAAATAGACATAACGACTGAAAATTATTTCCAATAATTCGATTATTATTATTATTATTATTTGAACTCGGAGAAAAGTCGTATTGTGTGTTTTCACATTGAAATTATGCCCAAATGATTTGGTCATAAGTTTGATTCCAAAACAACGAATATTTAGACTTTGTAAGTATAGTACGAACACTAAAGAGTCTAAATTTCTGTTTCTCATCAAATATCTACTTTTCTTGAAAAAATACCCTTTTCAAAGGTTACGTACGATTTTTGAGAACAACTCAACCATCTAACCATACAACTCCACGATCGGGTGATTTGCCACAAAGTTTAGACTCGGCACTGCATTTACCGAATTTACGCATTAATGTATTGTATTGCGTCATTGCGTTATATTTTGATACATAACGATCAGTGAGGCATTATCGTATTGTCCTGCGACAATGCGGCATTTTGAAATTAATTTTGCCTTTTACTGCTGCTATGTATAAATAAAAATCCGTATCGTTTGTTTAGTCAAAACTAATAAGTTACAATAATAATCAATAATGATCAAGCATTAAACTTTTTTTATTTAAATTATTATTAGAATACTTTTAATTTGTATTATGTAAAAGTTTTTTTTCTAATGATGCAATTTTCTAATTTCTATCTATGGTTTGGTTTTTAAAATTTTTAGTTATTAAAGCACCTTCGAATCTATCTAAATTTTAAGTAATTGTTCTTTACATTTTGGAAATACTTCTTTAGTATAGTATTCCATTTCCTTACTAGTTATTCGTGCCAATACATAACTAGAAATAACATCATGAGATCTATCATCAATGTCTTTTGGCGGTCTACCAATGCCAATCCTCATTCGACGAAATTGCTATTATGAGAGTAAATTAATGTTAGATATTAATAATAAAAATAAATAAGAAATAAGAAACCATTATATTAAAAACACTCACATTTGTTTTCAATGCATCAATCACGGATTTGATTCCGTTATGACCACTAGAAAATTAAAAATCATTAATAAAAACAAAATCCGAGATAATCTAAGTCATTATATTGTAATAAATGATTACTTACTTTGCACTTCCTCCGTTCTTTATACTAATTTTACCTAGTTCGCGTTGCATATCATCATGCACTACAATAATATCATTATGTGATAATCCTAATTCTTTAACTACAAGTATATAATTTAAGTTTACGAATAAATAAAAAAAACCTCATAAATAAATTCATTTAAAAATGATGTTATATGTCGAAATCAAATCTTTATCGTTTTTAATTGATATAAGTTGTAATGAAATTTGAATAAACATGAGTAATAAGAGAATTTGCTTAATATATTAATTAGAATTAACACCATCAATTATTAATAAAGCTTGTTTGATTAAAGGATAACCAAATCTCGACCTCTTTTTTTTTTAAAAAAAAAATCAAGCTCGTAAGAATTTCGATACAATTTAAGGACTTGCCTTGAAACATTACAAAGCTTTGTATTTTAGAAATTCCAACACAGGCATATGTTATCAAATTATTAAGCCCAATGCAAAAATCCAAATTTAATTATAATCACAATTGCTTAACAAATTATAAACTAAAGAGATTAAGAATAAACTTAAAGTTGCAAAATTCTCTAACCACTCGGACGAGTTTAAAATTTCATTTCAACTTAAATATTTTAAAAATCCACATAGGTGTGATTTCAGCATTAATGGGATTCTATTTCGACGTAATAACATTGACATATAACATACTTGCTTTAGAAACCGATTTTCCGCTAACATTCATCAGTAACAATGGTTTCATCAATGTTATCTCCAAAGGTACCGGATCAGGTCTAGGTCTAGGTCTAAATGATTCTGACATTTTTGATGGTTTTGGTGAAACAGCTCTTGATGATGATACAGATGATGGTGTAGTTGAAGGTAATGATGATAATGGCGAAGATAGATGTGAGGAAACTTTTGAGGATAATTCATCATCGCTATCTGATTCATCATCAATTTTTAGCTTTGAAATATCACTCTTAAGTCCTACATCTACATTATCTTCTTCTGATCGAAAATCATCGTCAAACTTTTTTTGATTTCCATTTTCCACAATATTTTTATCGTCAATACCATCATTTTTTTCTTCACTAGAATTCGTATCTTTTTTTGCTTGCTTCACGTTATTTTCAACTTCCTTTTTTTGTTTTATTTTGGGTCGTTTAGGAGGATCAACATATATAGTTGTAGTGGTGGTAACGGTAGCAGACCAATTTTTATTTTTTTTCCATGTTAGGTTTAAATGTGATGCTATATAATCTAATACCAACATTCCTATACTATGTCTAGTTTGTGGATGTGTATAGTTACCAAGGCCGACTAACTATAAAGAAAGTTTTATTCAAAATCATAAATAAACTAAGAGATGCCTCTACTTAATTCATAAAAAAAAAAAAAAATTAACAACTTACTAATAATTTTTTTGCTTCCATTTTTCTCTTTTTCGAGATATACTTCAAAATTTTATTAGATCAAGATGTGTACTCTGAGCTATTATATATCAATTTCGAATATGGCGATTATACGCAGTTAATTATACGCAGTTATTTATACGCAGTTATGGTCTATTATAATTGCACAGTAATTACGTATTATCGTTGTATAAATTTTTGTATGTGATTAGTAATGATACAGGCTAATGTGACCGCTTTTTATTGTCGAAAAGTACCACCCCGCACTTGATTTTTATATTTGTTTGGATGCACACCAGCCCAAATAGAGTTAGATTGCTTAAATAGATGCATAGTATGCATCGGTGTAATTGATGCAGGAATTAACTAGTGACTTGTAGCGTCAGCCGGTGGTTTCCCACCTGCATAATGCAGGCCGGCCGTAATTACGAAGGATTTGAAAAAATGACAAGATTCTACCAGCCTAAATAGAGTTGGATACTACTAAACTTTATTAGATCGCTTAAAATAGGTGCGTAGTATGCATCGGTGTAATTGATGTATGAATTAACTAGTGACTTGTAGCGTCAGCCGGTGGTTTCCCACCCGCATAAAGCGGAACACCAATGGATTCGCCTTATCAAAGCGAAACAATTTGTATAAAGATCGCTTATTTGGACTACTGGCCATAAGATGAGTAGAAAACTTGCAAATTTATTAATGTGAATTTATTTGGGCTATATATATTTGATATCATACTATTAAGTGTATAAAGCATGAACAGTTTATTTAATAATGATAATTGAAACGAAAAATTCCCTTATCTCATAAATTAGTAACCACAGCATTCATTCTACGTTACGCTATGTTTTTCCAATACACTAAACCAATCTAGACAGCAGGGAAGATTGAATAAATGTGCGTAGCTTACATTGATTAAGACCTGATATTAAATTGTTATAAAAATTTGGTTTGTAATAAATCGTTAACAAGTAATAATCCTGTAATTGGGGCATTATTTTGTATTTAGAGAATTTTATTTATTACTTATATTTTAAAAATTGTATGACTAATTAGAAGGAAGCAACATACTGTATTTCATTATTATACTATGCGCACGATATTTAATTCCTACAAGATAATATTAAAAGTATATTTACTAATTACATAACTATTTATCTTGAGTGTGCACAATAAAAAGATACATATCTGTAAATATACAGCAAATATAACAAATAATTTTGAATATAATATCAAATACCAAAAAGTTGATACCTAAACTACAACAAATGCTAATACGAAAATTACAAAACTTATAAAAAAAAAAATGAAAGCAGAAAACTAATACAAAGAAATTTTAAAATGTAAATTAAAAATTATATTCTAGTCACAATGCTCGAGCCTGAATAATCTAATGTTCGTATGCTTATTTCTCTTATCATTTTTGTTAAGAGGTTTAAGACTTGTATCAAAAAAATAAGACAATGTGTTTTTATTATGTGAAACCTCATTAGCAATAACACGTTCAATAAATAATTTAAAGAATAGATACTGTTTCTAGACAACTAATAAGCTTCTTCATGAATTAAAATGTTTGATTCTATCAATTAATCGTTATTTTCTTAGAGGATATAATTAATATCGTCATTCATATCCGCACTCAGGCCTATATAATAGGAAATTCACAATCATTTCCAGGTTTCTGGAGTTTTCACAACAATATTTAAAGAAATTTTATGCCGCAAAAGGCTCTTTTAAATTGGAATAAAGATAAAAGTAAAAATTCGTTTCAAAATCACAAATAGTTATCAAAAGATATAATATAAAGTATTATTTTAAAATTTATTTCTTAAATAATAACTTCTGCTCAAAAAATTGTATTTTATATAATTCTGTTATTTTAAATTCATTCAATCCACTATCTGTTAAATAGTTATAGTTAATATTAAAAAGTAAATTAATTTTATTTAGTAAAAAGATAAAGTAGTTACCTGGATAATGTGTAGTATATTCAATGAATTGGCTTTTGTAAATGTCATCAGGATTTGTTTGTGAATGTGTGGTCTTAATAAATTCACTATCATAAATTTTATCAGCATATGCTTGTAGATGTGTGCTTTTAACATTTTTTAATATTTCTTCTGACTTGATTAATTCTGATAAAATAGTTTCATCTCTCTGCCATTTTGTAAAAATTTCATAAATCTCCGTTGCTGATGGACGATTTACTGATTCTTTATCCCAACATTTCTTCATTAGGCTTACGTAACATTCTGGAATGTTTTCAATAACTGTTGGTCGTAAATCATTACGGCATATTTCTATTTGAAGTTGTATTCTAAATTCTTGATTGTAAGATACAGGTTTTCCATACAAAATTTCCCACATAATTATCCCAAATGAGTAAATATCTGATGCCGTTGTATATTGACCTCTGTCTAAAGTTTCTGGAGCTATATATGGTAAAATCCCATAAACTCCACGACGTTCTGCATTTAATGCTATACTTGATGACATTGAAAGTCCCATGTCTGCAATATATGCACTATATAATTCAGCTTGTAAAATATTACCACTATGCAAATCTCGGTGAATAAGTTCTTGAGAATGAATTAGTCGAAGATCATAAGCAATACAATCCAATAATGTTAATTTTTTTTTCCATTCCATTTGTACTATAGAATGAAGATTGTTACGCAAAGAACCTTTACGCGCGTATTGCATTAAAAGAATATAATTTTTAGAAACAATATCTCTTGAAATTCCATAGCACCTTAAAAATGTTGGATTTTTATTGCCAATATCACAATATGCCTTTAACTTTTACATCAAAGATAAGAAGTTAAAATAAGTCATCAGAACTTAAACATATTAGCACATAAATAAAATTACCTCTTTCACAAATTCCTCATCATACTCTTTTGAATTATGAAGCAATTTAAGTGCAACAGTGCGATTAACGTCTTTATATCTCCACTCAGCATAATATACTGTTGCAAATCCACCTTTTCCTATAACTTGAATATTTTCGAGTTCATTGTAAGAAATCCAAGATAACGAGTATTTGCTTTCACCCAATATTTCTTTTAAATTTTCATCAATATCTAAATTAACAATTATTCGCCTATTTGTTACTAACAAATGTTAATTATTATTAGTTTGTTTGAATTGTCTGACAAATAAATATAATCAATAA